TTAAAAAAAAAAAAAAAAAATTTTAAAAAAAAAAAAAAAAAAAAAAAGACAGATTGGCATGACTGTTTAATCTAAAACCCTTTAGGAACTAGTAAAGCTGGTGTAAATCATTAGTTAGTTATGCCTTTTTTCTTTTTTCTAGGGTTATAGAGCTGTTTTGAATGTTGTTCAGCACACATATGATCTGGCTCTTTCTACTCCAAGTGATGGCTGTAATATTTAATCTGCATTTATGCATTTATTTGATGCAATACCTTTATCTAATTTTTATATGTTCAGTGAACAACAAGCTCAGAGATAATGATGCCCAAGGGCATCAATATGGATGTTATGATTGGTCAAGGGCTAAATGAAGATGAACAAAATGAAATCTAGACTAGATAGGATGCTAGTGATCAGATTTTTATTATCTTAAAACAACTGCTTGTAGTCTGAGAAAGCTTTTTGCTTTTAAGCTGGCTGGATTTGGTAAGAGGAGTTCATCACACCATGATTATGTTTCAATTTAAAAAGCATATCTATAAAGTTTAAATGGTGCAAACTACAACAGTTAGCTTTCTAAGTGGAACATTATAATGTATGTGATTAAATTATAAATCTGCATACTTTTCCACACACTGATCTTAACTTTCAAACATTTTAAAGCTTAACTATATTCAGAAACCTGTTATAAAACAATTTGAATGCTTTGGTGGTAAGGTTTTGAAAATATTTCAAGATGTCTTTGTTATTTTCTATAAAAAAAATAATATTCCCCTATTTTGTTCCAATTTCAGGGATTATATTGGACTAAACTTTCTTTGCCTTTAGAAGAATAGTCAAGGGACATCTCTTTCTCTTCTCATATTGATTCTTAACAAGTTTAGTGCTTTTTTAACCTGTGTTTCCTTATTTTTCTATTTGGTATTTTATATTTTAGATGTTAGCTGTCTTGATTATTCGGTTGAACCCATGAATATGCTCGTGGACATTTTTAAAGATTATTTTAACAAAATAATTTGGAGGAGGGAAAGGAAAAAGCTGGCTATCTTCAAAACAAAATCTCTAATGTTCTTTTATTGATAAGAATGGCTCCAGGATTCCCATAGGCATCATTAGAAAATAGAAAATAATAAAAAATAATAAAATAAAATAAAATAAATAAAATAATAAAATAAAAAAATAAATAAATTAATAAAATAAAATAAAATAAAATAGTGGCTGCTGATTTAAAGAAAAGAAAAGAATATTATATCCTGAAGGGCTAGAGGTGGTGATAGAAAGCAACCAATTATCTAATGAATGTTTCTGACAGGTAATGCCCACTATTTTAATTAGGTAAGCCTTTCTCCATGACAGCCATTTTCTGAAGAGACCAAAAGCATGCTCTCAGAATTCTAAATGTGCCCAATACTCACCAAGAATAAACACTGTGTATGCCACCAGTCTGTAAGAGTGATGGGACGGAATTATATCAGGGTGTATTAGGAGGTCTATCCAAGCCATTCTGCTTACAGTTGTCTTTTCTATTGGGTCTGGAGAACCAGGATCAGGTTGGTACCTGCAAAAGTATTTAACAAAAAATCAATGGTGTCTTATTTCTGATGGAACTGGCATCTCCAGGTGATATTAGAAATATGTCAGAGCGATTGCAAATAAAGTCATTTTCAGAAAATTAAGAAGGCTAAGGGAGGCAATGGAGACCTATGAGCAAACTACAGCTTAGTTTTTGTGGTTTCAGATTCTGATTCAAATTCCTCACTAAAATTTCCTATGTAAGAACAAGACAGTTGGGTAGAGAGGGAAAGGGAGATGCAGAAATATGAAACTGCAAAGAAAATCTCCATGGGAGCAATGACCCTATGTTCCAAGAGCAATGCTCCAGGAGCATCAATGCTGTTTATGGAAATTAACTGAATATGAAAAATAATATATTACATGATAATATATCATTAGCATTATTCTAATATTGAGTCATTCTAAATTCAAAGAACTGTATGAATATCTGGAACTATTGACAACCATATATACGTTTTCAGTATTCTTGTTTGGTACCAATAGTTACAAGTGCAGCTTATTACCTGAGAAGTAGAATGGAGACAGCAACTAAAGTGTAGGCCAGCAGTGTTCCAATAGACATCACATTAACCAAGATCTTCAGATCAAAAAGGACAGCCAGCAGTGCTGTGAAAACAGAAAACGGTGCCTACTGCAAGCAAAATCAGTTGAATATTTTCTGTTCTTATAGACATCTGTATAAGGACAAGATCTCTAATACTTTGCCAAAACAGCTCTTGTAAATGCTTGTCATGGTTTCAGTCCCTTGAGTTAGAAATAAGGTAAGGGAGGATTTTTGTGTGAACAGGGAGTGTACTTTGAAAATAACTCGGAGTACTCCGGACCTCATGTGAGGTCAGCACCTCTCTGCTATTCAGTAAAGCACCCAACATTCGGATTTTTGAGTGAGATTGTAAAAAAAGGCACTATTTTAGGGAGTCAACTTAAGATGGAGTCAACAGCATCTCTAAACTGTTTTCGAAGTATGGACAGCCCTAGCCATGATTCAACAAGGGTCAAGTTCAACTCAGGGAATATTTATCTTTATCATTATTTTTTCCGGAAAAAACAATACCTAGGCTTACCTGAAACTGCTCCAGATACCAAAGTTGAAATAACTGGATTCTGTTGGCTATTCACTCTGGCCAAAAAATGAAAGAGAAGTCCATCCCTGGCCATTGCAAATAAAATCCGTGGCATTGGGAACATAGCACCCAACAAGCTGCAAAAGAACCCCAAGCAAAGAGTAAAATATCCATGCTAATAACTCTTGTTTCCAGTGGCAATCTGCATTATATGCATTGGAATAGATTTTGCAAGAGAAAAAAATCTATAGCTTCAGGAGAAATTTGAATCATGGAATTGATATTTTGAGAATGATATACCTCCATAGAGCTTGATGACAAAACAATGTTTTAGGAAATCATTGTACTTTAACCTCCAATATGCCATACCTGATAATAAGTAAAATAAGTAAAATAATCTGCAACGTGTACTTGACATACCTGAGACACATATACCTATAGTGATTTGTTCTTTCAGCGAGCAAAATGGGTCCACTAAAAAGCCAATCACATAAAAGATGGACAGGCTAAAATGTATTATGTACAGTATTTGCCCTCTTTTGTTTCATTGTTATTTTTTGTTTTAATCCTGTTCTGAATGTAAACTGCTCCAAGTCACTTTCTACTGAAGCAGCAGAGAAGCCTAGTAAAATAAACAATAATCAATTACTGTATTTTTTCTAAAAAAAAAATCAAAATCAAATTATAATGAATGGCTGTAGACTCAAGATAATCAGATGGAAAGACATGCTCATAAAATGCATCATTCATTCATTTACAGAATTTACTATCCCAAAATATAGTGATTGCCACATATAAATTTACTGAGCACTGATCTACCACAGCTTATTAATGACAGTTAAAGGGAACCTAAGTTTCAGAACCTTTAAAATCAATGGTTAGTGAGTCAACATTGTGTGACATGTTGCCTTCCTGCCTTTGTCATGGTCTTGGACATATCTGTATGGCTATAGTTAGAAAATCCTAGACAAGATGGCTGTTGTTATATTCTTAAAACATAAGGATATGAAGTAGCTCTACCTGGTTGTAAGTGCACAGAGTGACCCCACAGCAACAGCATACTTGGCTGGTCTCCATCCAATATATTCAAAAGCCACTGGCAATGGGCTTAGTGGATCCAAAAGGTGATAGGGCATCATGAGGGTCAAGGCAGCAGAAACACCAAAATATACCAGGAAACAGATGAGAAGTGAGAAAACGATTCCCAGGGGGATAGATTTATGAGGATCCTTCACTTCTTCACCTGTTAAATACAGACATAAGAACCCTAAGATCACTTTGTAATATACACTTTCATACTTCTGATTATTTATTTAATAATTGTATGAATTGTGCACAGATATAAAACCAAAATTTTGAAAGAGAAATAAAAGCCCAAAGGAATTCATCTACTACTAGGTACCACTGTGCAATCAATCACTGGGATCAGAAGCACATTGAAATAATATGGCTTTAAGTTACTTCTAGACTTAGTGAGTAAGGAACATAAACACCTCTGAGGGAAAGAGCTTTGAAAAAGATCTAACTCCTGGGGCAGGGGGAGTGATTCTTAACACTCCATTTCTAGATGACCAGATTTCATGGGCTGATTCCATTCTGGTAAGGTATTGTCTAATTATCTTATTTCAGACACCAAAAATGTAGAGTATTTTCCATCTTCCTCGTAGGAGAACAACAGAACATAGGGTACCTTTAAAGGGACCTATATCTCTTCTTGAATTCATGTCAATTTTTATAATAATAATTTATTAAATTTGTATGCTGCCCAACTCTCAACATCTCTGGCTGCTCAATGAAGTACGGGGTTTCACTCTTCCTCGCCAAAGGTCTGGGTCCTCACAGCTCATCTAAACAACAGCAGAGTGGTGGCCATCCAGATCTTGGGGGGCAGGGGGGGCACTGTTCATTCCAAAAGGTAGGCACTACTACAGAAAAGGCATATTTCCAGGATCCCAATAGATGACATTATTTAATCAAAGGAACCCAGAGTGTTTAAACTCTGTAGGATCAGATCAGCCAGGCAGATATTATGAGAAATAATTATCTCAAGTAAGCAGACCACATGCCATATAATTGCCAAATAGGAATATCAATAATTTGCATTGCTCTATACTCTTACCTATCCATGGATTAACCATTAAGCAAAATAAGTACATGCTTATGGCACCAAGGGAAGGGGACACCACAGAGTCAGAATGCAGGTTTTCCATGTCCTTAACTTTTTCACTGCCATGCCCTATTTTTCTGCTCTTGTTGAGACCTGGAAGGGCCAAGGGGCATCACTATTGGACCAGGTGTAGGCAGTGGTGGGATTCAACCAGTTTGCACCACTTCGGCAGAACCGGTAGCTAATTTTTTGTTGCCCAGGCCCAGAATGGACTTCCGGAAGCAGCATCCACACAGAGAACCAGTTGTTCACATATTTGAATCCCGCCACCGTGTGTAGGACATCAACTGGCTTTAATCTGGCACTGTTCTTACCTGTAGTTGCAATGCAATCAAATCCAACAAAAGCATAAAAGCATGTGGCTGCTCCAGCCAGAGTGCCTGAAAAGCCATATGGCATGAACCCTCCAGTTCCATATTTCCAGGTGTCATTGCCAACCACAGATTGGTTACTTTGAAGAAAAAACACATTAAATAAATCAATCTGAGAAAGAGCTGAATGGGTATATTTGAACCAATTGGAAAGAAAGTATTTTAAAGAAATGTTGTTCTTCTGGGATGATCTTGGTGAATTTAACTACTAAAATCAATTAGAATGCTGTGGGGTATGGAAGGAATGTTACAGTGGGAAAAGTAAAGTTCCTGATTTTTCTAGAGAAAGTGCAGCTCAGCTCACAAATGAAATAAATTCTAGCTATTCCTCTAACAATAAACAGAAATATCAGGAATATGGTACCTTGCAGAAAACATTCACATACTTAAAAGCTTTTTCTTTTTTTGTAAACTGATTCTGAATCTTTTGAAAACATATTTTGTGGACATTTGTTGGTTTTTACTTGAGCACTGATCAAACTAGTTTCTTACCTAAGGTTACTGTCAATCAGCCTTCGCAGATCATCTTCACTTAATGTCCAATTTTTCAGGTCTCCTTTGAATAACCCACTAATTGTTATGAAGATAAGGATGACCACATTAATAGTTGTAAAGACTTTATTCACTGTGGTAGATTCTTTTATACCCATGGAGAGGAGGCCTGTGGGACAAAGAAGGCAGAATAGGATTTGTACCAAGATCTTATTGTTGTTAGGCACTATACTTACGAATTGCGTATGGCACAATTTGAAAGCGTATGTCAAGAATATCTGGTGGACATGTAGGGACATAAAAGCATTTTGGATTAAGATTTGGTGGAATATCCAAAATATTTTTAAGAAAAAGATAAAGTTTACACCACAGTTATTTTTGTTAGGTATTATGGAAGATTTGGATGTTAAAGAAATGAATTTGATGTTGAATCTTACAACAGCTGCAAGATTATTGGTAGCCCAATTTTGGAAGAAGGACTCTTTCCCCACTATAGAAGAATGGACGCTTAAAGTGTCAAATTTAGCAGAAATGGCTAAAATTTCTGCTTATTTGAAGGATCAATCATAAGAAAGATACATCTCGGTCTGGAGAAGATGGATAGATTATATTCAGAATAAATATGGGACTAAAAAGTTTCATTTGGGTTATGAGTAAATTCTAGAGTATTGTTATTATTAATAGTTTATTTTAATGGAATTTTTGTTAGTTTTAATTATATGATATTATTATTATTATTAATATTAGTATTGTATTGTCTAATATTTAGGTTATGAATATGTTTATTATTGTGTTTAATTTTAATTTGTTTAAATTTGTGTTAAAGGGGAGTTAAAGCGCATTATGGACTTGGTTATTTTAATAGTTGGTTAATGCTAGATAGATTTTGATTATTATATTTGTAACCCTGTGTTCAGCTCTGGGAAGTGGGGGAGGGGAGGGAGGGGTTTTGGGGTGGGTATGGGGGTTTATACTGTAATCTTCATAAAACTTTTAATTAAAAAAAAAAGAATATCTGGATATGGTGTTGAACAAGCTCCTTTTACTAACTGAGTACAGTTTCTGATTCTAAATAGCTTGTAACATATAATTGCCAAAAGAACCAGCTAGGGATATTTCCTGCGTTATTTTATTTATTGGATTTGTGAATGCCGCCTAACACCAAGAAGATTCTGAGCGCCATCCAATAAGTCTAATACATAATTTAAAAAATATTAAACCAACCAGACCAAAACAATGCTCCCCAATATGCAAAAATTCAGCAGCCCCCAGGCCTAGAATCCAAGCCAAGTCTTAGGAACTTCTAGAACCCAAGGAGAGTGGGAGACCTAAATATCTCTGGGTTGGGGTTCATTACAATCTTAACGGATGGGGCTACATCAAGCACTCCAAATAACATAATAATAGGTTGTGGAGGTGCTCATTGTTAAAGGGACTACAGATCAGAATGCAGGTTTCCCATGTCAGATATCTTCAGTGCAATCTTCAGCACCTCCCATAGATGCTGTGAAAGATTTCTGAAGTTCTGAAAGCAGTCCGTATAACCCAAATGGAACCTGGTCTATTCTGAAATAAAGCAAGCATGTTAATATTGTTGCATGAAACATGTCTAGGAAGATAGCTACTAGAAAGCTGTTAGAAGAATCTCATTTTTTTTTAGTTTCTACAGTACGCAGGGGTAGATTTGGAAAGCAAATAACAAACTTTTATTTAGTACTTTAGTACTTAGCAACTGCCAATGTCTTCTTGCAGCCTTTTCAGACCCTATTTCTCCCAATCAGTTGGAATTTAACACCCAAAATTCACATCCATGCATATATTGAATAAAACCATTCCTTGCCCTGAAAACACATGGCATGCTAGCAGGTATAGTAAACAGTAAATCTAGTGAGCTTGTGAGTGGCATCTGCAGGGTTGGGACAGTGTAACTGAGATTTTGATACCATCATTTGGGTCTGCCGGAGATGAACAAAGGGCATAGTAAGAAGATAAATTTGTTTGCTTTTAGAAAATGGTTACCTTGATACGGGGTTGATTTCTAACAGTTACAAGATTGAGAAACAGTCGTGCAAACATACCAGTAACTAGGAAAATGAGGCAAACAGCAAAGATATCTGGATATTCAGCCAGGCCTGGGATGCTCGTGGCCAGATGTATGTTGAAAACATTCCCCAGGTTTTCACCCAAAATTTCATCAAAAGTAGCACTCCATGCTCTGGCTATACTGGAGGCTCCTACAGAGAACAGACCAGGTAAACCAAATATTGTCAAATATCAGGCAGAGCATACCAAACTTTAAAAGCAACATATTTTGCAGTCCAATCATCTCTTCTATGAACACACATCTACATTGCACAGGAAGATGTTGATAATTGCTGGGTTCTGTGGGGGGGGGAGGAGAAGGAGGAAGAGAGGGAGGAGCCAAAAGAAGAGGAGGAGGAAGAAGAAGTGGAAGAGGAGGAAGAGGAGAAGGAGGAGAAAGAAGAGGAGGAAAAGGAACAGGAGGAAGAAAAAGAAGAGGGAGAAGAAGAGGAAGAAGAAGAGGAAGAGGAAGGAGTTGTAGGTCCAGAGACAGCCTAAGACAAAAGTTTAGTACATAACTTGAGATAGGTGGCTATAGAAATTGAATAAATAAATAAACAAACGTACTCCATCACTTTTAATATCCTACTCATATACAATCTAAGATGCAGAGTCCACTTCTTCTGTTTCACACAGGCCCTGAATTGCATGCACACACACAATCAGAAGTGGGCTTCCTGCAAAGCTAACACTGCAGTGCATTTAAAATACCTTGAAATAGGAACTGTACAGTGAATTGGCTTTGTGCCTCCTAGCATTCACAGGCCAATAAAGAAACCTCATGGGCTGAATTACACTAGAGTTCCCCTTGCCTAGTCTACGCTGCATGGCAGAGGATCTTTAGATTCTACAGCATTTTCAACAACGGCCTTTCCCAGGGCAGCCCAAAGATATGGGGCTTGGAAACTAAATGGGGTATAATACTGAACCCCATTCTCTCTAGAAATTCACATCTACTTAAGCACTGTCTGGCTATCTTTTTTTAGGCCCAAAGCTCTGATATAATTGAAATCTAACACAATACTAGAATGGAGAGGGCCAAGCCATGATAATACCAATTACATAGGACAAGAGCAGGTTCCATCCCGTGACGAATGCACATAGCTCTCCAACTGTGATGTAGCTGTACAGATATGCTGATCCTGTTAGAGGCACCCGGGCTCCAAATTCAGCATAACAAAATCCTGCCAAAATGGATACCATAGCAGCAATCAAAAAGGAAATGATAATGCTGGGTCCTGAGGTATTCTTGGCTACTTCCCCTGCTAAGACATACACCCCTGCACCTAGAGTACTGCCCACACCAAAGGCTACTAAATCCAGGAGATTAAGGCAGCGATGCAGGTGTGATTCTCTGTAGCCATTGGCAGTTATTATTTTCCGACGAGAAACCATCTGAAAGAGGGAGATAATGGAACTCCAGACTTCCATCTGAAACAGAAAGAGAAGATCCAGATTGTCTTCTATGTGTGATATCCTTTCAGATATTTAAAGAAGGCTATCATAGTCATCCTGATGACACATAATGGCAGTATATGGTCCAGATTTGCTGATAAATTTAACAATTGAGCTAATACATAAGTTATTTATATTTATCTTATGAATCTTTTTTGTTTTTGTTTTTTGTCTTTTTCTTCAGTATTCAATGTATGTTTTACTTTTGCATGTCACTTTTTTATTTTTATTTTTTTTAAAAAGCATACTGTTTTGCTAGCTCGAGGACTGGAGGAATGCATATTAACAAAGAAAAGAATCAGAAACTGATAAATGTTTTACATGAAAATCGTTACCCTGCAAACTGCAGTTGGATGCACAGACAAGTAAATGGAAACAAAACCAAATAGCTTGAAATAATTATATAATACTACATAAAAGCTTATTCTGGTATACTTGGCAAACAATATTCCCTTAATCATTTTAATGCACGTCATATGTTGATTCAGGTGAATGAACCTTAGAAAAAGGTAATTTGGAGGGCTGTGTAGAAAATAATCTCTTGATGGAAAAATACAAACACCATATTCAATTAACCTGAGGGTGGTCCATATAGGGCTTTAGAGCCAGTTCCAGATTGATGCAAGTCCCATGAGATTGTACAATAGTTTTTTGTAGAGCAGCTACAGCATAATCCATGCAGAATTGCTAAGTTTATTTTGGAAATGGGCATTCTACAAAGCTTGAGGGGGGGGAGCTGATCATTTCTCATTCTTGGAAATCCCTTCTAACTCTGCAATGTCTTTATGCTGAAGTTTGTGAACACACAGAGAGAGAAAGCTATAAATAGTCTCTCCATCCAAGAAAAACATGTGCAGTGAGTGAGGGAAGGAGGGCACTAATTCAATGTTATATTCTGTGTTCTTCTAATGAGCAGCTGCAGAATCATCTGGAGGTCTTGGAGGCTGTGCAAAGGACAGCTGCTGGCCATTGAGAAAGTGGTGAAAAGGATCTGGGGAAAGTTCAAGAAGTGACAAGGGCAGTTGTGTATAAAAATGCTCTCAGATATTCTCAGACAAAAATGACTGAGTGGAAAGGTTGAGTCTGTTGCTGTTCTCTCTTCAGTCAGCAGGTTGCAGAGGAGTAACATAGTAGCCAAAGGTCGATTTGAAGATGGCCTTTTTAAAAATAGCCAAAAATAAATAAATAAAAGAGAATCACTTTTCATACAATAAATAATCATGGTGCCTATTCATGAAGGTGGAGATAAAATACTGAAGACTGATGCTTCAATCAGAATGATCAAAGCTAGGCAAATTCATTTAACTGCCAGTTATTTGACCTGAAATCAGGTATTCGTTCTCATTTGTTCTTGATCAAGCAAAGAAAATGCTTTTGGCTAAGCTTTTTTCTTGATCTTGCTTTTTAGCAATTAATCTACCTTTATACTTGCACCTTATTTCCTTTCACACTTCTGCAGATTTTCAAGATGCTCACTTTAGGTCCTAAATATAGATTTTGATTTGTAAACATGCCAAATCATAAAGGAGTGTTTGTAGAAATGAAGATTGTTATTTCAACTTCATCTAGCCATCTAGTCTGTTTATAACATTCCCAAATCAACATTCTAATCGTTCGTTATCTGTTTACAGTTAGTTCTCGACTTCCCATCACAACTGAGATTAGTATCTGGGTTACTGATCAAAACTGTCCTTAAGTGAAATGACCATGTGACCGCTTTGTTCAACGACCACAATCCTAGCTCTCTTAATTGTGATGATTAAATGACTACACAAGGCTGGCACAGGGGGTGAGGGAGGCTCTGGGAGACCTGCCACCTGTAACTGTCCCTGTACCTTTTAAACTTTAGAGCCTGTTTGGTCTAGTGGCTAAGACACCAGGCTAGAAAGCGAGAGATCACGTGTTCTAGTCTCGCCTTAGCCATGAAAGTCAGTTGGGTGTCCTGGGGCCAGTCATTCTCTCTCAGCCCAACTCACCTAACAGGGTTGTTGTTGTGGGGGAAATAGGAGGAGGAAGGTATGTTGGGTATGTTTCCCACCTTGAGTTATTTGTAAAAATAATAAAGGCAGGATACAAACAAATAAAATACAGGCCCACAGGCATGTGAAAACTGCCAAAGCTGGGAGGCCTGGCCCCTCTCCATATCCCACTAAACCAGGGGAGCCAGGGCCCTCCCCCCAACTCACCATATTGGGGTCTACTTACTTTTGCCTTTTCCTACCACTGCTGATAAAGCCTTTCTAGCCTATAAAATGATTGCCTTCACTAGCTTTCTGGCCTGAAAAGAGCCTTTATAGCCTTTGTCCTTCTAGAACAGGGGTAGGCAACCTTGGCTCTTTTATGACTCGTGGACTTCAACTCCCAGAATTCCTGAGCCAGCCATGCTGGCTCAGGAATTCTAGGAGTTAAAGTCCACGAGTCATAAAAGAGCCAAGGTTGCCTACCCCTGTTCTAGAACAAAAGAGAAAAGAGCCTTTCTAGTCTTCAGATTGAAAGAGAAAAAGTGCCTTTCTAGCCTTCAGAACTTTTCTTGCCTTTTTGGCCTAAAAGCTAGTGAAGACGATCATTCTGAAGGCTAGAAAGGCTCTTTTCTGAGTAGAAAGCCAGCGGAAGCGATCATTCTGAAGGCTAGAAAGGCTCGTTCAGTAGCTGCAGAAAAAGATACAGATATGAGAACTCAGGGATGGCAGGGTGGAAATAGGGCCTGGGTGGTGGAGAAAGCTAGCTAGGGATCAGGCCAAGGCCTAAAGAGCCATGGCAACTTTGTGCATGCCAATGGGCCAGGTGGGCTGCTGAGATGGAAAAGAGAGATAGGCAGTTGGGGAAGGGTGAATTGCTGTGTCCCTGCAGTTGTAAGGGTGGGCACCCTGCCAAATGCTCGAATTTTGATCATGTGACTGTAGGGGTGATGCAACAGCTGTAACTTCGAGCACGGAGTTGAACAGACTCGAATGGACATTGAACGAACAGTTGAAAGTCGAGGACTACCTGTATTCCAAAATACATTTTTAAATTCTTAAACTTACATGAAACTTCTTTTGCTAACGATTGTAGGAGATTCACCCAGTGTATGAAACTTGCATTCTGAAGGTTCCTAATATTGATAAAGCAGGTAACAAACCATTTCCAAAACTAATTAAGAAAAAAAGTATGCAAACTTTTGAGGATGCCAAATCATGGCTCGGGCCAAGATGGTGAGCCCTGGGCTCCCAGAACAGTAAACTCGCTGCCTTATGTCTCCTTGCAGGGAGTTTTCCTTCCACCTTTCCCAGCATTAAAGCCTTTTCTAAAGAGTTGGGTCTTTGCATAATGCATCCAAAATACAGTAGAGCAATCTAATTATATCAAGGAATTCATTAATCCTTATTGCCAAATTATCATGGATAATAGCTCTGAAATGTTATTACAAAAATGTATTAACTCCCAAAAACAGGGTAAAGTAAAACAAGTATTGATTTTTTAAAAAATCATGTATCAATGTAGGAGATTTTCAGAAAAGGAAACAGAATTATAATAGAGATATGCTTTAGAGCTGGGGTCCCCAGCCCCTGGTCCATGGTCTGCAGCCTGCCAGAAACTGCTCCGTGCAAACAAGTGAAGCCCCATCTGCGGGATGCAGGCAGCACACGAAACCATGCCCCCTCCGGTCTGCAGAAAAACCTCTCTCCATGGAACGGGTCCCTGGTGCTGCTGCTTTAGAGCAACTTCCAATCTGGTGGTTATAATTGCTGGGAATGATAGCAAAAAGTAGTTTAACATAAATGGAAGATACCAGGTTGGGAAGGCTACTTTGAAGGAGGAAAGCTGCTTTGGAATGAACTGAGGATTATCGCTTTGGAATAATCAACAGTTAATGTTCATGATGAGAAGTAATGAAAGGTAGTCTTTCCAATAATGTGAGTTAGACAGATGCCCAATTTTCCATTCCAGACTGCATTTTTAGAGATAAGTTACTTGTAGGTTAATCAGATTATTCTTCCTTTTTCAGTGGATTTAAGAAAACCCACACCTAGAGGACAGGGAGGAATTTATGCTAATAATAATAATAATAATAATAATAATAATAATAATAATAATAATAATAATAATAATAATAATAATAATAATAATAATAATAATAATGATGTTGGAAGGGACCTTGGAGGTCATCTGGTCCAACCCCCTGCTCAGGCAGGAAACCCTATACCATTTCAGACAAATGGCCGTCCAGTCTCTTCTTAAAAACTTCCGATGTTGGAGCATTCACCACCTCTGGAGGCAGGTTGTTCCACTGGTTAATTGTTCTAACTGTCAGGAAGTTTCTCCTTAGTTCTAGGTTGCTTCTCTCCTTGATTAGTTTCCATCCTTTGCTTCTCGTCCTGCCTTCAGGCGCCTTGGAAAATAGCTTCACTCCCTCTTCTTTGTGGCAGCCGCTGAGATACTGGAACACGGCTATCATGTCCCCCCTAGTTACCAAGCTACTGTTATTATGAGAATGAAATGGCTGCTCTGCATATGGCATAGAGTTAGTATACTGCGATTTACAGATTCCAGCATTCAAAACTAAAAACTAAAAACACAAGCAAACCATGTATGCCACATCAGAAGAATGAAACATTCAGTGTTATACTTTATTTAATGAAACAGCATTTGCTGAGGGAGGGAGAGGCAAGCAAAGCTAAGAGATCATATTTCATTGAGCCAGAAGATACTGTTCTTAAAAAAAAAGTGGGAAAATTATAGTTGTCCATATATGGTCATAAAGTTAGATTTAGTGGGATGTTGTCTTTGATTTAAGTCACGTGACCCATCTGTGGTTTTTTGAGCTCTTGTCCATTGCTGCTGCTGCTGCTAATGCTTACTAGCTCCAAGTGTGAGGAAAGTCCTCTCTGGTGGGGCCTCCCTTGACTTTTGGCAAGCAGGATCAGCCCTACTATTAGGCTAAGTAGAGCTGTCAATTTTGACAGCTATTTTGGAGTAACCTCAAATAGATAGTT